ACCATCACCACCACACCATCACCACCACCATCACCACTACCACCACCACCTTGACAAAAGCAGTAGTCATCAAATAGTTCCACTAGGCAAGATGACAGCTGCTACCACTTGTGAAACTAACTCTGAGGACTTTCCAGATGGATTGCCGAGTTGGTGAAAACAGATAATTCATTCACTGGAGGCTCCCTAGCCTTGGGAAGAATGGGGTAGGGTTACATGTGAATAAGTAAATGCCCACCAGAAAGGAGGGGAGGCCCAGGGTGCTACTTTGCAAGTAGAGATGCAAATGAAGCACAGGAGGCACGTGTTAAGTTGCAGATTCTGATATGGAGCTGCATTTCTAACAGGCCCAAGATGATGCTAGTCCACTAGACCAAAAATCAGATCTTGACAGCAAAGTTCTGAACACAAGCATTTGGCAGAGGTAAACTTGAAGCCTAAAGCAACCTTCCAACACAGATTTGCTGAGCATCTATTAAGTGTCACTCAGGGAATGTACCGGGCTGGAAAGCCAGATACCCAAGACCCAGAGATAAGACATCTCGGCGAATACCCACAATAAAGATGCTCTAAAGTCAGTATCAGACAGAGGTGGAGGCACTGTGGCCATTCAAGTAGGAAGCTCTTCATTGCATTTGGCCAGCATGTAACAAAACCATAAGGAACAATGGTGATGTAGATAAATTACAAAAGAGAGCAATTACAAAACAACAAGTACAGAATGGTCCTGAGGCAAGAGAGAAAGACGGAGACAAGAGCCCATCATCCAAATGTCTGTTGAAACCTCTGGCCAGTTCAAAGTCAAGAATTCCAGTACAATTAACAAAGTCTGCTGTGGCATTAACAACATAGAGACAACCTTCCTACCTACAGAGCAGTCTCCAGGATATTAAAATAGCAGTCAGCCATGATTAAGGCCTAAGTGTTTACAGGCAAGTTCGGCCTTTCTCTTTTCCCAGCTGTAAACCTTTCATCTTCCAGGAACCAAGTGTGACCATAAACCCCATTTTCAGTAAAAGACAAGCCTTAATCTCAATCCCCTGTGCAACCCTTTGTAACCAGAGTTTCAGGTAGTAATCCTACCCAAGGCACCTCCTCTATGATCTCATTTCACAAAAATAAGTAAAAATAAAAAGAGGAAGATGAAGGATAGAAAGGGGGTCTCCTAGAAACCAGCAGCCATAGTACAGCTATTCCTGAGACGCTTAAATGGCTGCCTTGAGAAGCACACACCCACACTGGGGAGTGTTCTAACACCCATGCTTGAATCTATGTCAAAAATCTCTTAATGAAATCCAATTCTATTGCTCAGTGACTCATCCTGAAATTCTCTTGTACTGCACAGTCAAGCAAAAATCCTGACTTCACCTGAGTGTTTTCTAAAAAAGAACGCCTCAAGATGCCACAGGAGGGAACCATGTCCCCAGCCCCCATTCGAAGTACTGTTAACAGCCCCAAAATAGTTCATTTTTTTAAAAGAATGGTGAAGAAAGATCTAGAAGAAAAGAAGGAGGAAGCCAGGTGTGGTGGTACAGAACTGGAGGACTGGGGAGGCAGAGGCAGGCAGATCTCTGAAAGTCTGAGGCCAGCCTGATCTACATAGCAAGCTCCAGGACAACCAGGGCTACATAGAGAATGGGAGGGAGGGGGAGAGGGAGAGAGAGAATTAATATACTCTACAGAGTCCAACATAATTTCCTAGAGAGCCTAATACATTTTCAGTCTGGCCCTTTAGAGACAGTACCTTCAGACCCCTGGGGTAAAAGAAACAGGCTATACACAGACTTAACAGCAAATTTCGTATTAGCTACTACAAGTAGCTACAGGTGATTTTTGCTTTTCTTTGTGTACATTCCCAGATGTTTCTAGCTTTCTCCATCAACTATCAGTTTCTCTTGAAAGTAGGGGTCAAAACAGTTCTTGCCCTTCCTGTGTTTATGTGCACCCCCTAATCATCTAGCTTAGAAAACAGGAACCACTGATAATAACTTAACACAGGCATCTATCACAGTGCTGTTCAGTGGTAGAAAACAAATCCCCATGTTCTCTTGTGATGGCAAAGCTGCAGTTACCACAATGCTCCTTCGTGTCATGAGAAGGTGCTCACTCACTACTGCCTGGTGACATAAAACCACACATCCAGTCAGACCAAAATCAGTATAACATACATGCAGAAAAAGTAATAAAAAGCAAGGACTCACAAAAGAATATTAAAAACATAAACAGTGCTTGTCTCTGAAACCTGAATTTATGAGTGATTTTCATTCTCTTTATATGGTTTTGTTTTTTAATTTTTCTATTATGAGCATGTGGTACTGCTTTTATTACAGAAAAATGCAACACATAATAAAACTTCTTTGGGTTTGTTTTTGCCTTCATCCCTTCCTGGGGGAGTTAGATGACACTCAGGGAGGAGGATACATCTGTGCTGTGCTTTGAGGGATGAGCAGGCATTTACCAGACAGAAGGAAGGGGCAGTCCCATGGGGCTGCAAGGAAACATGCTAATATCCACAGGCATGCAACCCAGTGGGACCAGCAGTGCTATTTCGGGGAGGGGGTGATGGCCGAGGGAGTGAAGAGGGAGTGCAAGTGGCAGGAGCAGGGGGAAATCTTGGGCAGAGGGCAAGGCCAGCTACTGCCAAGACCAAGGTATGTGGGGTATAGTGTCTGAGACATAGCCAAGGAAGACAGTGAGGGAGAAGGCAGGAAGCCAGCAGCTGGAAATGGAAAGGGAAACGCTTTTTAATCACAGCAGAACTGAGGCCCACAGAACCTGTGCTGGGCAGGGAAGAAGTGAACTAAGTATCCTGGATCCATTTCTATTCACAAATAGTTAATTTTCTTCTGACGAGGCCATACAAATATCTGTGTGCCTGGAAGTAAAAGTATTTGTTATTGTCCAAGCATTTCTAAAAGACAATACTGACTTCCTCCTGAAGATAGACGGCACTCGGTCACTTCACAAATAACTTGTGACTGCTATGCACAGGTACCCAATAAGGGGCATGACCAGTGGGTATCATTGTCCAGCTGTAGAACCAAGGCAGAATGAGGCAGAGTAGAAAAGGAAAAGTTCCCCCTCCAGGCAGCAGAGAAAAGATACTACAACAGAACTGCTGGTCTCTCTGGGAGGTGAGATGAGGCTACCATGTCACTTGTCATAGCCGGAGGGCACAGTCTTTGAGGCGACAGGAGGCTGCAGAAAGTCTGCTGATGCCCACTCATGGCTGGATTCCTAGCAGGATACCAAGAGGGGTTCCAGTAAGCCAGAAGGAATGCGGCTGGCAGGAGACACTCAGACCTCTCAAGAGGGCTTTAAATGGAAATGTAAGAGCAAGGGGAAACTCTAACAGCAGAAAATGTACCAGGCAAACAAGAGTGGCCCAGATATGGGTACCCAAGAAGGGGGGCTCTAGATTCTCAGAGAACCAAGGCAAAGTGAATCTAGCCAATCCTCCAGGCCCAGAAGAGGGGGAAGAGACAGAGAATGAACTGGAGAGGTGAGCACAGAGGCCTAGGAGGAGAAGCAGAGCTCTGATGGAGGGCTGCCAGGAAGGGGTATGTACATAAGCCAAATACAGATGTTACACTAAAGACAACAGTGACTGCTGAAGACTACATGTGCGGCCATTCAAAGGAGCAACGTGTTTCTATGGTTATTAGCAAATGAGGAAGGTTCTGAATAAGTAGGCTCCACATCAATATTTTTTAAAAAACTCCATCTATATCAGCATCTCTCCCTCTACCTCTCCATGACCAAATATGTCACATGTCCATACAACCACCTAGTTACAGTTACAATGGACTCTCTCAACTACTGGACAACTTCTTCCATCTGCAGCACACACACAACTACAACACAACTTCAATGCTGGCCCAATTTTTGCTTGCATGTCTGTTTCCTGTGCTGACCACAACCTCCTCCTGTCCTGGCTAAAAAATTATACTTTATGTATCTGTACCCAGTCTCTGGAATGACAGACAGAGGACAGGGTCAACAAGTGTCCTTACTGCTCCACCAAAAGATTGTTAATCTTCTTCAAAAGGCATAGCCTCTTTAGCATCTTGCTTTGAGTAACCAACATTGTGACCAAGTGTCAAGGGAACCAGAGAGCTGAGTGGTGACGAGAGATACACTATCAACCAAGGAAAGGCAGTTGAAAATGGGCAGAAGACAAAACATTATGGGAATGAGATGGTGCAGTCTGTGGTCGTGACCAGAGACGAGAAAGATCCCAACTTCCTGGAAAAGTGAGCTGCCAACCACCAACAAGGTACATGGAATAGCTCCTGGCAATAGAGAAAAGAAAGGAGTGGAGAACACAGACCACCAGCCTATGAAGGTCTCAGCATGAGGAAGACAACAAGGACAGCCAAAGAAAAAGGAGAAGAATGTTCTTTTTTATCAGGGGCATTTCCTCAACCATGCACTGTCCTCAAGTTGGGTCAGGCTCCCAGTGGGCATCATTCCCCTCACCTATGAAGTAAGGTGAAGCCCTGATGTCTCACTATGAAGTAACAAGGGCACGTGGCCATCACAGCCCTGACACCCTACTGGAGCGAGACCACAACAGTTTCATCCTTCTCACACTTATAAACCAAGAGTGTCACCTTTTAGGTCTCTCAGGGCCACCCATGAAGCAAAGAGAAAGATGTGGACAAGAAAGAAAGACTATGTACCAATGGACTGGAAATTAGCACACTTTTCATGGACTCTAAACTATGACACCAGAGGCCATATAGGCATCATCCCAGTGTCACTGTTCCACCTTAGTCAGTAGCTATCAAAGTCCTCTCCAAGATAGATGTCCCAGAGTCCTCTGGGCAGCTTCTGTCTACCTCTCAATCCTCCACCACTCTTTGGTACATTCATGTAATTGGAACACTGTGTACTTTTCTAGGATTGTATGAATATGAAGTGCCTTCCCACAGCAAAGTTCTTCAACGAAGCCCAAATGGAATCAATGACATCAATGTAATCACCATCACCACACCCACTTCACGCATGAGGAAGCTGAAGTTCCTGGAACACCTTAACTTCCTGTTCCTTGGTATTCACAACTTCTAGCCAACTTCTGGCCCTCCTTGGGTTCCTAAATCCAACACAAAAGACACAGCAGTCACAGCCAGTCCTTCTGGCCAATGCCTTCACTGCTAAAGGTGCTGCTCTACTTTGCATCTCTGCTGCTGTGGTGAAACACTGGCCAAAGCCAACTGGGGAGGAAACAGTTTACTACATCTCACAGGTTACAGCTGGTTATAGGGAGAAGTTGGGGCAGGAGATAGGGCAGGAACTTGGAGGCCAAAAGCATGGAGGAACACTGCTTACTGGCTTATACCCAAGTTCATGATCAGCTACCTTTCCTATACACTCCAGACCCTACCTGCCCAGGGATGGCACCACCCACAGTAGACTTGGCCCTCCAGCATCAATTAGCACTCAAGAAAATGTCACTCAGATGTGCTCTCAGGCCAATCTGATGGAGGCAAGTCTTCAAGAGGTGGTTCCTTCTTCCTAGTTTGTGTCAACTTAGCAAAATCTAAGTAGTACGGGCACTCAGAAATCAAGGTGCCAAAGTCAGTCCAGGTCTGAACCACTGAACTGTCTGCTACCCACCAGCAGTCTAAGATACAGAACCAGGAATGATTCTCATGGTCCAAGTCAAGGCACCAAACTGCAGCTTCAAGGAGCCTTCCCTCTCTGGGAGCAGCCTTGCCACGGAAAGATTCCCTCTCTTGAATTTGGGACAAGCCTCTCCCTGGGATGGGCCACCTACCCACCTGTCAATGGGCCACCCCTAGCTCTGGCTGCCCCTCAGATGCCAAGCTTTGAATGCCCCAGGGCATCTACCAGGATCCTTCTCCACCAGAGTAATTCCATGTCAGTCTGATACTCTGTATCCAGTGATACTTCTTAGGCTGGGAAGACAGCTTCACCATTAAAAGGAGACTCACAACCAAAAAGTCAAGGTCGCTACCTCTTCCCACTTCCCATCCTGCCTCTCCCTGTGCTACAGTCTAAGCTCTGCATGCACCACTTCTCATTATAGTTCAGAGGGATACTCGTGCAGGACCAAACCTGAGCTTGATCCCAGCACTCTCAAGTCTCAATGTTGAGTATCCTAGCTGTCTCTTCCTGCTGCACCTTCCAGGAATCCACCTGTGCATAAGGAGGCGGATCCAAATATCAGAGATGACTGACTGTTGCTCAATAAAGGGAGGAACCTGCCCAATCCTCCACCTGCACCCAGGGGAACAAAAGACTACCCTTACTGTTAGGTTAGAAACTGCAGAAAGAAGGTGGGGGGAGGAAGTGGGAAGAAAGGAGGGATGGAGGGGGATTTGTAGTTGTGAAGTAAAATTAACTAATTAATAAAATTTTTAAAAATTTGAAAAAAGTAGCAAAACTACTTATACTGATGGTCTAGCCCGTATGTAAACTGTACTAGACCACCACAGTGCTTTATAACCTTTAGTCTAAACTCAAATCCAGATGCACATCAGGGACCAATAAATAAAGGCTAAGTCCATTTAAATGCTGAGTTGGAGAGAACCAAACAGATGGCCCTGAAAAGACAGCCAGACTAAGTAATTTTAATGAGTCTGATTTGTGATTCTGAGGAAGAGCTAGGATTGATATTACTCCTTGACTATCACTGATGACAGTAGGCTGTGGTCTAGAGTCAGGCCAATCCTATTTATTTTTAGTAAGAAAGAGGAAGGGGACCAAGAGCTGGATTAGATCAGCAGTTCTCATCAGCATTGAAGGCGTCCATGAGCTTGCTAGAAATCCAAATATATGAGCCCTACCTAATTACTATGTCAGAGGCCCCAAGGGAGAATGGGAAAACCCAGCAAACCTACCAGTGGCTGACGCACCTACTCTGAGAATCACTGGACTAGAGTCATGGTCTCACAATTCTTCCAGCTCTACCACTCAAGAGAGTCCAAAGTTTCCCTGGCTTGGCATAACCAACCCACCACACACACACACATACACACACACACACACACACACACACACACACACACACTCACACACACACAGCACCACCAACACATACATACATACATACATACATACATACATACATACACACACACACACACACACACACACGTTCTTTCCACTCTGATTTTGATCTGATATGAACTTAAGTGAGCCGGATAGTTCATGTGTTCGGGTTTGACAGCTTCCTCCTGTGATTAATACAGAGGACCCTATGACATTGTCAGTTTCCTCCAGGGAACTTTATTCCATTTACCACCTCAGCGGTACATAGTCTGTCACTGTATTAAAAAAAAAATCAAAACAGGAGGAAGGAGGATCAGCCTTTTAAACACAGGCACTATCTTTTAAAAAACTATAAGGGGGTTTATTCCTGGAGTAAATCAATAAGGAATTACTCTAAAATCTTAAGAAATGGGGTCTTTGTAAACACAGCACTCTCTTTTTTTTTTTAATACAAACCCACGTGATGAATTAAGGCATTTGTTTTGTATGCCAGGGATACATGTAGACATAACAAACCATTTCTTGCTTGATCCTTATGTTTCAAAACACTAAAAATAATCCAAGCATGACATAACAGTGTATGCCTGTAAATCCCACATTAGGGAAAAAGGCAGGAGATCAGGAGTTCAGCCAGCCTCAGCTACATAACAAGTTCAAGGCCACCCTGGGCCTCATAAAAATATCTGAAAATAAGCAAGAATAAAACACAGACAAAACCTAAAAGTATGATAATATACCACAAAAGTACTATGGACTATTAATTCCAACAACTCTTGACCTACTACCTAAAATTACCATGGAAGGCAGGCAGGCAGGCAGGCAGGCAGGCAGGAAGGAAGGAAAATCTGTCTTACTATTATGGTACAAAAAGGTATAGATATGAATTTTTAAAAAAAAAAAACTAGTCTAAAAGAACTAAGTTTGAGTTTAGTATGAGCAACATCAAACCTACCCATACGTCCATCAATCCTTGTATTACCCATGCCTGCATGCAGCCATCCTTCAAGTGGATACTATGTGTCTGCCCAACCCCAAGAAGATATGAATATTCTAAAGACCTTGAAAGCCAAAACTGAGACAGGCCAATGGACAACTACAAAAAAAGACAGAAAGTGCCCAGTGATTAAAAAAAAAAAAAAAAGCCACAGGAGATAGCAAATAACTTTCCTGTTTAGGGTAGATGTACGGAAATCATGGTTGGTTTACTTTATGGAGATGGCATTATCAAGCTGAACCCTGAAGATCAATTTGAGTTCAAAGGGGTGATGAAAGGGAAGAGTAATCTAAACTAAGGACATGCCAGGACAAAGATGAGAATGAGAAAGGCATGGTATGGAGGTTCCCAAGGTCAGCTGGCCCCATTCAACAGTAAGACAAGAAGGATACCCAGAGGATTACTGCCCAGCAGTTCAGCTTCCATGCCCCCTCACCCCACCCCAGGACCCCCTCCTCTAATTCTGCTGGCACTAAGGACAGAGCTGTGCACCTGCTGCCTGCCGAGCTGGTTCCTGTGCCATCCCTGCTGCCTCATCCATGCATTCCTGTAGGCACTAGTTAGTGCCCATCACAGGCTCCAGTCTTCTTACTATGCCGTGTCTTTACACTTCTGTTTTGTGTAATTTATAAAACACATACTGCCTACGAGTTTGTATTTTTAATTCCTGTAAGAAGTTTTGGGCTCCAATTTGTGTGAAAATCAGGCTGCCACATAAGGTTGTATTGTATGATAAAAGCCTCCAGGAATAAAACAGACAGTACATCCTGCTTATCAGCAGCTCGAACACTGGTTCCACTCTGTGCACGCAGCACAGACTTCCTCATGAATGACTATTCCTGGTTTTTCATCAACTTCCCCCCCAGTCTTCTTGAATTAAATTCTAGGGGCGGTGCCTACTTTTCCGGGTTTCTTTTGCAAACATGTCTTGAGAACCTACTGTGCTCTGAGCTGTTGCTGACATGAACACTCACGAGGTAAAACTACTGTATATACTGTGAGGGTCCATCTTTTAAGACACTGCAGGTCACTGAGCCTATTTTGAAGTTAAGGATGAGGATGGTAGAAGAGTCTGAATCCAAATGCAGGTTTCTGGGAGTTACTGAGTGTTGTTCATTCCTTCACTCAACAGCATTACTCAAGGAATGTCCACTTCCTTCCGGTCACCTCCTCTAGGCTTCCCCTAACACTGTCAGTCTGCATCTCCTCCCATCGAAAGCAAGAGCATGGGCTGCTTTCCCAGGATTCCTTTCTAGGATAAAAAGCAGGAGCAGGAGGAAAAGTGGGTCCTACTCCACTCGATCCTTAGCCAATACACTTACTGGCTAGACATCATGGGCTGTACCAGGCTCTCCCATAAAGCACCTTCTCAAGGGCAAATAAAACGCAAGCATTAAAATCAATTTTGACTGGGGAAAGATGAGAACTGCACCTTGGACAGGAAGAGGAAATTACCAGGTGAAGTCAACACAGAGTGAGTATACAACTGTGCTTCACAACACTGTATCCATGTCAACATCTTAGTGCTGACAAATACCCAACAGTAACATACAATGTCAGAGCTGTGAACACTGAGGCGAATTGTGTGGAAATTCACTAAACAATGCTCACAGCTTTTCTTGCCACAGAATTGTATGTTTATTTGCTGAGAGAATTAAACCTCATCTAGGTGCTCGCTCATCTTTTCCAAATCACTATTTTGAGAGGCAATAGGGATAAGACGCAACAACAGCTCCTAACATGTATGAGCTCCTTCACGCTGCCAACAATGTGAGACACAGTTTTCAGAATCTCATTTCATGGATGAAGGAACAGAAGCCTAAAGAGGCTCAGTAACAAGCTGAGACATTTGTGTAGAGTCAGATGCAAATCTAGGCAGGTTAGCTCAGAAATCTGTGCTCTTAGAGGCTACATAATCAGACCAATGTTTTCCAAACACTTCCAAAATTTTCAACTGATCTATCTAGATCTAACAAAAGACTATCACAAAGAATAAAATGTGAATACTACACTTAATGTTCACACTCAACAAGAAGCTTCTTAAGGCAAATTTGCAAATTCTGAAAAATCTCACTGGCATTAT